CTGGAAGGCTGGTGATTCAAACCCACCAGCCACTCCTTGGAAGGAAGGTTGGGCAATCTACTTCTGTAGTGATACCACCTCAGAAACCCAAGGAGGGGCCACTATGATTCAGGTCTGACTCAATGGCACATAACAACAGCAACAACATTTGTGGTATATTCTTGTCAGAGTAGCACTAGGTAACCAGAACACTACCTCAGGGATGTGGTGTGCTATCAGTATATAAGGAGAAACTTTGAGGAAGGTCTTTGAGCTTTTTGGCACATGTGGATCCTGCAATTGGCTGAGTCTTCTTATCAGTGGCCTGTCATGTTTGCTGATCTTCAGACTATTTCTGGACCTGAACTAGTGGCCTGCTGTGTTGCTTGATGGTTTTGGGATTGTGCCATTTTACTTGTCAACCTTGGGTTTATCAGCTTCAGCAGCCAGAAGCTGCCTGAATTAAGAGACACCTCCAGCTTCAGTGGGCTGGAAGCAAGAGGCAGAGCTGAAGCCCAAGGTCAAAGGGCCTTCACCCACCCTTAGGGCTGGCACTTTGAACTTAAACTTATAGCCTCCTAAACTTTAAGAGAATAAATTCCTGTTAAAGCCATACATTTGTGGCATTTTCTGTTGGAGAACCACTAGAGAAGCAAAACAGAATCACTTCAGGATAGATCCTGAAATGTTTTTTTGACAATGAATGCAATTCTATTTACTTTCAACTTGTCATTCCTGACATAGTAGACCACAGGACCACCTGATTCAAAATGGCTGATAGCAGTCCATTTCAGCTCCCTAATGCTTAGGATATTGATCTTTATACATTCAATTTCATTTTTGACAATGTTCAATTTTCCTAGATTGATGCTTCATGCATTCCATGTTCTGATTATTAATGGATGTTTGCAGCTATTCACCCCATTCTGAGTCGTACCACGTCAGCAAATGGAGGTCCCGAAAGCTTTACTCCATCCATGTCCTTAAGGTGGATTCTACTTTGAGGAGGCAGCTCTTCCCCAGTCATAGTTTGAGTGCCTTCTCACCTGACGAGCTCATCTTCCGGCACTATATCAGACAATGTTTCACTGATACTCGTATTACTTTCTACTAATTTATCAGACAAGTTTTCACCACTATTCGTAAGTTTTCAATGGTCAATTTTTTCAGAAGTGGGTGGCCCATTCTTCCCAGTCTGTCTTAGTCTGGAAGCTCTGTGAAACCTTCCCACTATGGGTGACCCTGCTGATATTTGAAATACTGGTGGCATAGCTTCTAGCATCCCAGCAACATGCAAGCCATCACAGTTAGGACAAACCAAAAGACTAGTGCTGGTACAATGGGATACTACTCAGCAAGAATACAAAGTAACAAACTATAAGCTACAACATGGATGAATCTCAAAATAATTATGAGTGGGAGAGCCATGCAGGATAAAGAGGTATATTTACATGATTCCATCTACATAAAATTTTATAAAATGCAACCTAAGCCATAATGATAGGAAGTAGGCGGGAAGAATTACAAAGGGTCAGAGAAAATCCTAGAAGGTGATGGCTATGTTCACCAATGTTGATTGGGGCAATGGTTTGTCAGGCATGTACAAACACCAGATTTTATCAAATTGTACATTTTAAATATGTGCAGCTAATTTTATATCAATTATACCTCAAAAAGCTGTTTATTTTTTAAAAGTATATATGGTAGGGAATGAATCTATAAGTACTTAAAAATATGTATTTATAGAGGAAGAAGCAAATTACCTGAGACTTGCCAGGTCCAAGCACATCGCGCTTGGATCTGGGATGGGAACTTTGTATTTGCAATCAATCCATGATGCTACAAGCACTCGGTATCAATGATCTCTATAAGAGAATTTAATGACAGCAAACCCTTTGCTAAAATTAAAACCTTATAAATATTCTGGTGTGAGCCACCACCAATTTCAATATGCTTTGGCTACTGAATAAGCTTACTGACTCCCTTGAAACGGACTTTCATCTTGGATAATGTTTTCAACAACCAATAGCTACAGAAGATAAAGGCAAGAGGATTTTAAAATGCTGTGAAGCTGCAAAAGGCTTCCCCTGAGTTACTGGAAGAAAGACAGGCAGAGATACTATGATCAATGAACCCGGTACTTACAGCCCCTTTGCAGTAGAGTCGGAGCTGGCCTGTAGGAGTTCGGACAATCACAGACATCCTTTTTCTGTTACTAGAACAATATAAAAAGTATTATTAGTTGCTCTTTTCGTAGATTAAAAACTGACTCTAAAACTGAAATTATCAAAGTCAAAAGAATTCCTGAAGTCCAGAATTTTGATCCATGCTAAATGACGGAGTCTTCTACCTGCTCCCAACACAAGGGCTCTGAGTCACTCACTATTGGGCTCACAATTAGTCAAAAGGACAACACATACTTCAGCAACTGCCGGTCTCCATGTCCTTTTCTTTACCTTGTTCCATAAATTGAGGTTCTAATTCTAAATCTCCACTTTGAGGGCTAAGGTGCACCTGACCCAACCCATGGTATTTTCAATCGCCTCATAAGCATGTGAAAGCTGGACAATCAATAAGAAAGACCAAAGAATTGATACATTTGAATTATGATGTTGGGGAATGTGCTGGTTATGTTTGTGTGTCAACTTGGCTGGGCAGCTGGTGGTAGTTATTCCCCATGATGAGACTGGCAATCAACTCCATGGTGGGATCTACCACAAGCAGCTGAGTAGCTGCCTTTGGGATGTGGTCTGCTTCCTTATTTAAGGAGAAGCCTTGGGAATGGTCTCTAGCCTATGGCATGCTTGGACCCTGCATGGAGCCGTGTCGTTGCTCAGCAGCCTGCCATGCTCTGCCGACCTTGGGACTTACAATGGACTTAAGTCAATGGCCTGCCATGTGGTTTGGTAACATCAGGACTGTGCCTTTTTACTTGTCAACCTTGGGCTTCTCAGCCTCAGCAGCCAGCAGCTGTCTGAGTGAAGAAACACCTCTAGCTCCAGTGGGTCGGGAGCAGGAGGCAGAACTGAAGCCCAAGGTTGAGGGGCTTTCACCCAGCCCCTAGAGCCTGGCACTTTGGACTTGGACTTAAAGCCTCCAAATTGTAAGAATAAACTCCTGTTTGTTAAGGCCATCCCATTTGTGGTATATTCTTGTCAGAGCGGCACCAGGGAACCAGAACAGGGAAGAAGAATGAAAATACCACAGACTGCCAGAAGAACAAACACATCTGTCTTGGAAGAAGCACAGCCAGAATGCTCCTCAGAAGTGAGGAAGGTGAGACTTTGTCTCATGTACTTTGGACGTGTGATCAGAAGGGACCATCCCGGGAAAAGGGCATTAAGCTTGGTAAAGTAGAGGGAGGGTCTGTGAAAAAGAGGCAAACCCTCAAGGAGACGGACTGACACAGTGGCTGCAGCCATGGGCTCACGCACAGCAACGATCAAGAGGCTGGCGCAGGACCGGGCAGCATTTCATTCTGTTGTGCAGATCCGGCCACTGTGAGGTGGAACCCACTTGAGGGCCCCTAACACCACTTCCTCCTCCTCTTATGATTTCTCCATTATTATCCCTTTCTTCTAGCACAACTAATGCAATTTAGTCATTAACAACACTGATGGAACAAGAGGAAGGCAGCCTTGCACTCTGCTTTAGATGCATTATTTGGTCCTGACAACATCCCTGTAAAGTAAGCATTTTGCCCCCATTGGGCCAGACAGGGATGTTAAACTGCCTTCTCAATGGCTGCCAGAGAGTGTTTTCTGTATCATTCTTAAAGGGTCTAAGCATTCTTCTTCCATTCTTCCTCTTCCTGTGGACAGAACTCAAACTCATTGCTTTTATTCCTCAGTCAGCAACCCAAGCAGACTTGGGATCTCACTACTCCATCTTTCCCACACACAGTCTGAGTGCACTGCATGAAACACTACTTCCTCCTCACATCATCACTCTTAAGCCTTTGCCAGCTCTCTTGGGCATCGAAGACCTTCCAAGAAATCCCCACCAATAATCTGTCTTCCAATCCCAACCTTCCCAACCTTCCTCCAATCCCACAACACTATGCTTATACAATATATGCTTCAAGCACATGGAATATGCACCTTCCCCAAACGCCTTGCAATTTCCTCCACACCACTGCTGACCGTACCTCCTCCTCCAAAGGAATGAGCTGCTTTTCCAACTTCCACATCTACCTGTTGGAACCCCACCCATCCTTCAAAGATGCAACCTACTCTACAAAGCTTCCCCAAAGCTTCCCTGGAAGGAGCAGATCTTGGTATAGCCATCTAACATGGATCATTCAAGGCTCGGTAGTAAAATCATTTTTGCACACAACTGTGTCTCCTAATGGGAGTTCTGGTGGTGTAGTACCTGAGGCATTTGATTCCTAACCAGAAGGCTGGCGGTTCAAACCCCCCAGCCACTCCTCAGAAGGAAGGTTGGGCAATGTCCTTCTATAAGAAATATATGAACACATGTAAGAATATGGTGATCTTTTAAAAACATGAATCAGGTAACACTCCCACTCTAATGACTTTCTATCACTTTTAGACTATTAAAAACAAAAAGCACCAAACTCTTTGCCATCGAGTTGATTCCAACTCGCAATGACCCCAGGTGTTTCAGAGTACAACTGTGCTTCACTGGGTTTTCGGTAGCCGATTTTTTCAGAAGTAGATTGCCAGACCTTTCTTCCGGGATACCTCTGGGTGGAAGCAAACCTCCAATTGTTTGGTTGGCAGCTGAATGTGTTAACTGTTGGCACAAACTATTACTGCTGTCCCACACCCCTCACTATACAACCACCAGATTGATGTTCCTTCTCTTTGTTGATGCCAAGATCAGTCTCCCTTAGGGCCTTAGTTCCAGCAGTTACCTGTGCCAGGACTGCTCTTCCTCCATATCTTCACATGGCTCCCTCCTTCATTCTTTCAATCACAAAACCAGCTCCGATGTCACCTCATAGAAAGGCCTTCCTTGACCACTCAGTGAACACTGCAGCTCCACCGCCAGTCTCTGTCAGACCTGACTGCTTCATTTCCTCTCTTGGTTACCTATCTATTCACCACCTATCTTCTTCCACTAGAATTTAAGCTTCACACAAGGTGGCCACCAGTGCCACTCTAGTTCTAGCAAGGTCATGAGCTAGTAAGAGTCCCACAATCACAACTACGACCAGAAAAGGTACAGAGTTGGTAACAACTTTTCCCAATCTTAAAACTTAAATAAAATAAAATAATAATAATCAAAATATGACTTGTTCATGATCACCCTTCACCAGGACGAACTCATGATCGAAATGATCCTCTCAGTCACTTCCCTTTCCAGTTTTTCAGATTCCTCACTAGAAATACTCGGAGGGTTCAACAGACACAACTTCCTGAGTCCTGAGAAAAAGTCCAGTGGGAACAGTGTCATCATTGTCAAATCCTCACACCCATGCCCCGTGCTCTGGGGGATCAGACCACTGCTCGCAGAGCCCCCGAAACGTGAAAGGAGAGAAGAATCTGGATGCACTTATTTTCCTTTTGTAAATAATGAACTAGCTCACTGTCTACTTTTCACAATTATTCTTTTTTGTTTTGCAAGACAGGGTCCCGTCAAATCTCTCTAAACCCTTTGCTGTCTCATGATTATGACTCATGGTAACCCCATGTGTCACAGAGCAGAACTGTCCCCCAGGGTTTCTGGGCTGTAATCTCTACAGAAGCAGACCGCCACGTTCTTCTTCCATGGTGACACTGGGTGGGTTCCAATCACCAACCTTTCGGTGAGTTAGCTGAATGCAAACCGTTTGTGTCACCCAGAGACCTTTCATTGTCTATTTTTAAAGAGACAGTTTTTACTTTACCTGTGAAAATAATTTTCAAATCCATCTATTCATCAAATATTTCTTGAGCACTTCCCAGACCACAGACCTGTGTGAGACGATTCCTGTCCTCATGGAGCTTATGGTCATTAAGTAACAATACAGATTTAAAATTGCAAGTCTGATTGGAAAGTGCTAGAAAGAAGAGGTGTCTAAACCCATGCGAACCAACAAAACAGAAGTGGTCCCATGATGGTGAAGACATGGGAACTAGCTCATGTGTGAAAGGTGGGGAGAAGCTGACTAGCGTTTCATGTTCCTATACTGAAGGTTTAATTTACGTGGCCAAGTCTCAGTTGATTAGCCCTGGGAAGCACATGATGCATGAAAAGGTAGCTTACCTGGAAAACTCCAGGATGTTGAGAACTTCGAATGTGAATTTTTCTCCCATCTGTAGGAAGATAAAATAAAATATCCTTTCTTACCTAAGGCAAAAACTATTCACCTAGCAAAACAACTTATTTTCTCCATCATACACAAGCTTTACCTTCCAAGAACACATCTTTTTCAAATTATAACTTTTCTTACAACTCTAATGAGATGAAGGTGCCCCTCTATGCTGTTGTTAGATGCTACTGAGTTGGCTCCAACTCACAGCAACCCTACGTACAACAGAAGGAAACACTGCCTGGTCTTGCACCATGTTCACAATCATGGCCCATCATCGCAGCCACTGTGTCAATTCACTTCATTGAGGACCTTCCACTTTTTCACTGATCCTCTACTTTACCAAGCATGACATCCTTCTCTAGGGACTGGTCCCTTCTGACATGACCAAAGTGGGTGAGACAAAGTCTGGCTGTTCTTGCTTCTAAGAAGCATTCCAGCTGTACTTCTTCCAGGACAGATTTGTTCATTTTTCTGTCAGTCAACCCGATGGGAGTTGCTGTGAGTTGGAATTAACTTGATGGCAGTGGGTTCAATACTTCAACCATTCAATACTTTGTGTTCTATGCTAGGTACATTGTTTGCCACCTGGACAAATGTTTCTGACGGCACCGATTCTATTTTTTAATTTTATTTCATTTATTATTTTATTTTAAGGGTTTGTTTTACATTCAATGTTATGTGTACATTTGGTTTCAGTTTTCTTTGACTACACCACAATTCAAATACTTCAATTCTCCTGTGGTCTTCCTTATTCATTCTCAAGCTTTCTCATGCATATGAGGCTACTGAAAATACCATGGCTTGGGTTAGGGGTACCGTAGTCTTCAAAATGACAACTTCACTCTTTAAAACTTTCAAGAGGTCTTTTGCAGCAGATTTGCCCAGTGCAGTATGACATCTGATGTCTTGACTGCTGCTTCCATGGGTGCTGATTGTGGATCCAAGTAAAACAAAATCCTCGACAACTTCAACATTGTCTCCATTTATTATGATGCTGCTTATTGGTCCAGTTGTGAGGATTTTTGTTTTCTTTATGTTGAGGTATAATCCACACTAAAGACTATATAGTCTTTGATATTCATCAGTAAAAGCTTCAAGTCTTCTTCACTTTCAGCAAGCAAAGTTGTGTCATCTGCATATCACAGGTTGTTAAATGAGTCTTCTTCTAATCCTGATGCTGTATTCTTCTTCATATAGTCTAGCTTCTTGGATCATATGCTCAGTACACAGATCGAATAAGTATAGTGAAAGGATACAACCCTGACACACTCTTCTTGATTTTAAACCATGCAGTATCCCCTTGTTCTGTTCAAATGACAGCCTCTTGGTCTATGTACAGGTTTGGTCTATGTACAGGTTCCTCATGAACACAATTAAGTGTTCTGGAATTCCCATTCCTCTCAATGTTATCCATAATTTGTTAAGATGCACAAAGTTGAATGCCTTTGCACAGCCAATAAAAACACAAGTGAACATCTTTCTGGCATTCTTTACTTTTAGCCAAGATCTATCTGACACCAGCAATGATAACCCTCATTCCATGTCCTCTTCTGAATCCAGCTTGAATTTCTGGAAGTTCTTTGTCAATAGAGTGCTGCAACCACTTTTCAATTATCTTCAGCAAAATTTTACTTGTGTGTGATGCTGATGATAATTGTTCAATAATTTCCACATTCTGGTCAATCACCTTTCTTTGGAATGGGCACACATACAGAGGTCTTCCAGTCAGGTGGCCAGGTAGCTATCTTCCAAATCTCTTGGCATGAACAAGTAAGCACCTCCAGCGTAGCATCTTTTTGTTGAAACATCTCAATGGGTATTCTGCCAATTCCTGAAGCCTTGTTTTTCACCAATTTTTTCAGGGCAGCTTCAATTTCTTCCTTCCGTACCATCAGTTCTTGATCATATGCTACCTCCTGAAATGGTTGAACACTGACCAGTTCTTTTTAGTACAGTGACTCTGTGTGTTACTTCCATCTTCTTTTGATGCTTCCTACAACATTCAATAAGAAGCTCTGGTAGCACAGTGCCTAAGGCATCTGACTGCTAATTAGAAGATTGGTGGTTCAAACCCACTAGCCACTCCACAGAAGGAAGACTGGGCAATCTACTTCCATAAAGATTTACTGCCTCAGAAACCCGATGGGGTTGCTGTGAGTTGGAATTAACTTGATGGCAGTGGGTTCAATACTTCAACCATTCAATACTTTGTGTTCCATGCTAGGTACATTGTTTGCCACCTGGACGAATGTTTCTGACAGGAGTGGTCTGCATGTACATCTTGTTAACTATTTGGCTGAGAGCCAGCCTCTGGAAGTGAGTTTTATTCCAGCACCTATTTTAGATCTATAGAACAGGTGTTTCCATCTAAAATCAACATTTTCAGAAACATTTTATAAACACTCTCAGGTGGTAGAGGTATGTATAGTACATGCAATAACTAGCAGACAGCAGTTTAAGTATATGATAATTGGGGTTGTGTGTCAACTTGGCTGGACCATGATTCTGATTGGTTTAAGCAGTTGTGATGTGGTGATTCCCATGATGAGATCAGAAGTGTTTGTTTTGAAAAGGGTGTGGCCTGCTTCCAATATATTTATGGACACCTGGGAAAACGAGAGAATCTTCTGTGGATCTGGATCTTGTTGTGCTGCCTACAACTGTCTGTGAGCAAACAATCCACCATTTGGCCTGGAGATCTTGGATTAGTCATCTGCTAGAGTCAACAGCAAGTATACTGCCTGCCAACCTTGAACTCATCAGCCCCTACAGCTGCAAGAGTCAGGAAAAGCCTCCAGTTTGACATCTGATCCAGGAACGTGGGGCTTGTCAGTTTTTATAAGTGTGTGAGGCATTTTCCTAAGATAATCTCTCTCTCTCTCTCTCTCTCTCTCTCCATATATATATATATATATATATATAAACTTTACTGGTTTTGCTTCTCTAGAGAACGCAGCCTAAACATCTGGTACTGGGAGTGGGGTGCTGCTGACTGTTGTTTTTGTTGTTATCAGGTGCCGTCAAGTCGTCTCTGACTCACAGTCACCTTATGTACAACAGAGCAAAAGATTGTCCAGTCCTGTGCCAGCCTCATGATCCCTGCTACACCCCAGCCCATCACTGCAGCCACTGTGTCAATCCATCTCGTTGAGGGCCTTCTTCTATTTCACTGATCCTCTACTTTACCAACCACGATATCCTTCTCCAGAGAATGGTCCCTTCTGACAACATGACCAAAGTAGGTGAGATGAAGTCAGGCCATTCTCGCCTCCAAGGAGCATTCCAGCTGCATTTCTTCCAGGACAGATTTGTTAGTCCTTTTAGCAGTCCATGGTACTCTCAGTACTCTTCACCAACACCACACTCAAAAGTATCAACTCTTCTTTGGTCTTCCTTATTCATTGTCCATGTATATGAGGTGACTGAAAATACCATGACTTGGGTTAGATGCACATTAGTCTTCAAGGAGACATCTTTGCTCCTCAGCACTTGTAAGAGGTCTTTTGAAGCAGATTTGCCCAGGGCAATACGTCTTCTGCTATCTTAACTGCTGCTTCCACTGGTATTGATTGTAGAACCAAGTACTATGAAGTCTTTGGCAATTTCAATCTTTTCTCCATTTATTGTGATGCTGCTTATTGGTTCCATTGTGAGGATTTCTGTTTTCTTTATATTGAGGTATAATCCATATTGCAAACTGTAGTCTTAAATCTTCACCAGTAAGTGCTTCAAGTCATCCTCACTGACAGATACCTAAAATGTTGAAACAGAAGTGGAATGCATCCTTGACCCAACATCCCTGCATGAAGAGACACTGGCAGAGACCCCAGCAGAGAGATGGCAGCAGCAGAGCTGAGAGACCAGCACTAGACAGTGATAGGCTCACCAGCCCATGGAGGAGAGAGCTGGGTGCCTTCGGGTATGCAGCTTCCTGGTGGAGTGGGTTGCCTTCAGGTGTTAATTGGTGGAAGAGACCAGCATGAAATGGAGTAGCAGGTTGGCCAGCCCATGGAGCAAGGAAGCTGAGTGCTTTTTAGGCATGAAGATTTCCTGTGGAGTGGGCTGCTTTAGGCACTAATCGGCAGAAGCAGAGAGACCAAGGACACAGGAAGCAGAGCTGCCTCAGCCTCAAGGGTAGGACCATGGCCTCTGGGGGTGGAACCACCACAGCCTCCTAGGTTTCAAAGAGTCAGACCTTCACCAAATTGGTTCTGGAATGTGGGGCTGCTCGTTCATGTGAGCCAGTGGGATGAAGCCATAGCTGCTGCCCAAGAGAGAGGGGGCAGGGCTGCCATGCCCAAGAGGTAAAGGAACGGGGTCTGCCAGGCCAAAGGAGTAAAGTCAAGTCACCACTCAGAGGAACCAGGAGACTGGAGCCACCCAGCAAAGGAGATCCATACAGATGTCACCCAATGAAGATCTGTACAGGTGCCAAGATAACAAGGGGTGGAACTGTAGTAGTTAAGGCTGTATGTCAACTTGGCTGGCCCTGGTTTTGAGTGGCTGGGCAGCTGGTTGTAGTTATTCTCCACGGTGAGACTGGTAATTAACTCCATGGTGGAATCTACTGGAGCAGCTGAGTAGCTGCTTTAGGGATGTGGGCTGCTTCTAGTATCTAAGAAGTAACTTTGAGGAAGGTCTCTAGCTATGGCATACTTGAACCCTGCATGTAGCCGAGTCCTCATTCAGCAGCGTGCCATGCTCTGCTGACTTGGGATTTCCAACAGATTTGAATTAATGGCCTGCTGTGTGGTTTGGTAACATCAGGGCTGCACCTTTTTACTTGTCAACCTTGGGTTTACCAGCCTCAGCAGCCAGCAGCTGTCTGAGTGAAGAAAGCCTCCAGCTTCAGTGGACCGGGAGAGAGAAGCAGAGCTGGACCCCAAGGCTGAGGGGCTTTCACCAGCCCCCAGAGGCTGGCACTTTAAACTTGGACTTAAAGCCTCCCAAACTGTAAGAGAATAAATTCCTGTTTGTTAAAGCCATCCCATTTGTAGTATATTCTTGTCAGAGTGGCACGAGGTAACCAGAACCCAGCCTAACACAAAGTACAAACAAAACTGTACAGATTAAATGAAGTCCTTTGTGCTTAGGTAATATGAAGAGGTAAAGATGGAAAGAGGTGGCATTCTATAAAAATGTATAGCAATGCAATATGCATTCCTTTGGAAGTCTTTCCAGTTATAGCCTCTTAACCTCCTGCAGGCTAAGTGCCAGTAAGTTGACTCTGACTCATAGCAACCCTACATACAATAGAACAAAATGATGCCCTGTCCTGCACCATCCTCCCCATAGTAGGTTTGTTTGAGTCCAATGCTGACCTGCTGGAGCCATGATCTACGTGTCTCTCAACCTGCCAGCTCCCAGCTTCACTGATGTGAAACACAAAATAAACAAAAAACCCTTGCTCTCAAGCCAATTCTGACTCATAGTGGCCCTGTAGGACAGAGCAGAAGTATCCTCAGAGGATTTCCAAGGCTGTAATCTTTATGGAAGCAGACTACCAAGTCTTTCTCTCATGAAGCAGCTGGTAGGTTTGCACTGCTGACCTTTTGGTTAGCAGATGAGCACTGTAACCACTGCACCACCAGGGCTCCTTTTTATCACCAATATAGCACTGAAGAATTTTAAGTAAATTGAGGGCCTCCCAGGTGTCAGGTATTCTGGATATAAAGATGAACTAACCAGTGCCTTCTATCAAGGACTCAAAGTCTAGTAAACATAGAAAGCAGTGCATATATTACTAGAAAAGTGAAAAATCAGTTAGTTGGCTACCATGTTTTTACTTGGTAACATCTAATTACATTACATTACAAAGAAAACCAAACTCACTGCCATCGAGTTGATTCCAACTCATAGCAACCCCCTTTGGGTTTCTAAGGTGGTAAATCTTTATGAAAGTACATTGCCCAGTCTTCTTTCCGCAGAGTGGCTGGTGGGTTTGAACCACCAACCTTCTGGTTAACAGTCAAATGCCTTAGGCACTATGCCACCAGAGCTCATTGAAGGGCATCTAGGTGAACTGAAACTGCCAAGCTTTTGGTTAGTAGCCTAGTGCTTAATTGTCTGTACCACCCCAAGACCACAAAAAAGTCAATAAATCAGAATAATAACAGAACTCATTAAAAAAAGTATTTTGAACCATTTCAATTCCTCATAGGAAAAAAAAAAAAAAACAGTGCATTTCTTTCAGGTCCAATGATTCAAACTCTTTGGAACTGTCACTTTGGTTGAGTACTTACTCTGTGCTCCAATTACTGTATACATGACAGGATGAGAAAACTTCACAGAGAAGTTCAGTGAAGTGCCCAGAATAAGGGCTGAGAAGTTGTGAGGCCAGGACATGACTCCCAGGCACTGTGGCTCCAGAAGGCACAGGCTGAACCAGTCTCTGTGCCTCGTGCTCCACGGGCAGAGCAGATGGACGTGAGACGTCGGAAAGCACACAGGGTCCTACTCACCACTTCGATGGTAATAGAGTACGGTGTTCTTGAAGTGAACACAAAGCCAAGTTTTTTTGCTCCTTTCACTAAAGCCACTTCATCTGCCAACAGAAAGTCCATGTCAGTGGGAACTAAACCAGTGTATTAACTGTGAATTTTCATGTCATATAGATTTCCATTAGGAGATCTGGTAGCATAGTGCCTAAGGCACTTGACTGCTAACCAGAAGGTTAGTGGTTCAAATCCACCAGCCACTCCTTGGAAGGAAGGTTGGGCAATCTACTTCTGTAGTGATACCGCCTCGGAAACCCAAGGAGGGGTTGCTATGAGTCGGGTCCAACACGAGGGCACATAACAACATTTCCATTCTCTAGCACTGAAAATGTCATGTGATTTATAAACTTTTTTGTTTTCCTTTTATTAGAATGCACTTGTTTGGGCCTATGGGTACCACTTTGCGTGCGTGGAAGAGGAAATTTGGTTAAATCAGCCTTTTGCCATGGGGTGAAGATGAACTCACCAGACTGAAAATACCCTACATTCTCACTACTCCTCAATAGAATTGTGTTTGTTTGAAAGGCCACTGGCATCCCCATGAAATGAAGAGTCTTAATGGTACCTCTGTCTTGGTATTGATTATAACTAAAGTGCTTAGTGGGGCTCAGGTGCCCTCCCTAATCCTCCCGGGGGTGTCTTTGGATCTAGGGGCATGGGTAGCCCAGGAGCTGTAGAGCAGTTCAGAGTTGCTGTAACATGAGTGACCTTGATCTGTAAGGAAAACAGGGAGGGAGAGAAGTGCAATCTAGGGGACCTGCAGCATCACCATCTCTTTGGGATGCTTGTCACAGGCCAGGCTCAATGACACACCATCAGGGATGGTGCAAGAGGCTGGGGAAAACCACAGGGCACAAGACTACTCTGCCCTCTTGGAAAATGTTCCCCCAGGAGGAGTTCATTAGACATTGTGGAATAAATTAAGGAAAAACACTCATGATCATGTGACCTTGAGTCACACGAGATTATAAACCTATCAGATTATACACAAGTGTTGTTCCGGGCCCGGAACACCTACCTGGAGAGGAGGCCTGGTAAATGATCTCATCCCCATCTCTCTCAGGAACAACAGTGTGGCACACACATAAAAGGGTAAGGAACTCCTTTATATATTCTTCGGTGGGCTACAAAACAAGTTAGAGTCAGTGCACTGCTTCCCACGCCGGTGCCACAACAGTTCCATTCCACAGCTGGTACTGGCTGAGATTCCATCTCAGGTAAACCCAGAGCCAGGCACCAGCTAAAAACCATACCACGCGTTCATAATGGGTCTGTGGAGTGGCCACACAGTCAGGGACGGTGCAGGAGGCTGGGGAGACCACAGGGAACAAGACCATTCTGCCCTCCTGGAAAACGTTTCCCCAGGAGGAGTTCATTAGACATCGTGTAGTACACCAAGGAACACTCGTGATCATGTGACCTTGAGTCACATGACATTATAAAGAGATTATACATAAGTGTTGTTTCACTATTACAGGAAAAATTTTGTTTTTTCCTATAATAATAAAAATCCATTGTCATCAAGTTGATTCCAACTCATAGCCACCCTATAATACAGAGCAGAACTTCTTCTTTACGGAAGCAGACTGTCACATCTTTCACCTGCAGAGAAATTGGTGGGTTTGAACTACTGAGCACTTAATCACGGCACCATCAGGGCTCCTTCTGTGATAATAGTGGACCTAACAATCTGGAGGTCCACTATTATCACTAGTGAACCTAATGATCTGGAGGGGAGTTCTGATGGCGTAGCACCTAAGGCATTTGACTGCTAACCAGAAGGCTTGTGGTTCAAACCCACCAGCCACTCCTCGGAAGGAAGGTTGGGCAATCTACTTCCATAGTGATACTGCCTTGGAAACCCAAGGAGGGGTCGCTATGAGTCGGATCCGACTTGATGGCAAACACAACAACAACAACAAGAAATGATCTGGAGAGTATAGATTAAGTACCAGATCAATAACAGTTCCTCAGAGAGGAGACTATGCTTTCACCACCCTGCCTACTTGACTGTCTTCACAGCAATCGTGACCTGGAAATATCCTGCTCCTTGACTTGTTTAAAGGAGTTCTGGTGGTGCAGTGCCTAAGGCATGTGACTGCTAACCAGAAGGTCGGCAGTTCAATCCCACCAGCCACTCCATGGAAGGAAGACAGGGCAACCTACTTCCATAAAGATTTGCCACCTCAGAAACCCAATGGGGGTTGCTATGAGTCAGAATTGAATCAATGGCAGTGGGTTTGGTTTTGGTTTTTGGTTTTGACTTGTTTAAATGAGCTCTGTGGGCAGAGTGCCTAAGGCATTTGACTGCTAGCCAGAAGACTGGCAGTTCAAACCCACCAGATGCTCCACAGAAGATGGGGCAATCTACTTCTGTAAAGACTTGCTGCCTCAGAAACGCAAAGGGGGTAGCTATGAGTTGAATCAACTAGATGGCAGTGAGTTTGGTTTTGTTTTTTACTTGTTTAGTTGTCTCTTGTCTGTCTTCTTTCTTGTAGAAGCAATAAGAAAGCAGGGTCTCTGTCATGTGTCCACAACTTCAAACACCGTAAGCAAGAGGGAAGTCACAGGACAGGGGGTTGGAGTCCTCTTGGGGGGATTTTATCCAAGTCATATTGGGCAAGAGTTGAAGCACTAAAGCAAGAAGGTGACATGATCCAATTTACATTTTCATCAAGATCACTTTGGGGGTGAAAGCAGAGACAAGCTGATGTCCTGGTGACACACACCACCCAGTCTCTCTACAACGAAGACCAGAGAAAACAAATGAACATACAGATACAGATGATATTCCTGGAACCCTGAGCACCAAATGAAAAGATAAAGAATAGGAATAAACATCAATGGGAAAAAGAAATGGAATGAAAACAGTGATTGAGGAGAGAGACCGAGTGGGGGCCTGACACAAAGTGGCTTCTTTGTGACACAGACGGCAACATACATGAGTAGGAAGAAGCCAACTTTATGGAATCCCCATTAAGACAGATAAAGTGTAAATACACCCACAGTGAAACAAGGTGAGCAGAGTATGAGCTGGATTTAGGAGAGGAAAGTGCAGGGAAGTGGGCAAGAATTCGAGGGGCAGTGGTGACTACAGAGTGAGGAGGGAGCCAGTAGCTGGGGATGAATCCACTCAGCAGTGAACCCTAGTCATTTGGGTTGAGGGCCCGTGTGGAGGGCAAAGCCTGCGAGGTGAAAGCTGGAGATGGTGGACTCTGGACAGCAACCCCCTACCCCGACTGAGTAGTGGCAGGAACAGGATAATCAGCTGCATTCACCCAGAAGTGCATTGGGCCCACAGCAAATGATGAACAGAGAAGCACGTTCTCCCACTTTCCCCACCACACGTTCCTGGTGACCAGGGGTGTGGCTCCCCTCCCCGCCAACAAACTGGTGACTAGATTTGTTCTGATTAACTCCCAAAACCCAATGACCACCTGTCATACCACAGCCCCAAGTGGACCAAGCCATATGCCTGTGGATTGCACTCTATGTGCCTGGTGCCTGTGTATGATAGACAGGGCACACTCTCAATGACTACAAACTGCATGCCCACAGCCTCTACTGTAAAAGGGCACACACACAGAGACTGTACACCAGGCTCCTGCCACTTCTGCAAGCACATGCTCCCATGTATCATGGATCCTGCATTTGCTGCTGCCATTTCCCTGGCAACTAGACGCATGCACTCATGTGCATTGCATGACAGCAGCCTGTCAACACTGTGGCAAGCAGCATGAGTCCCAGTGGATAGGGTGCTGTGTACTCATTACCTTAGAAGCACAGGCAACCATTGCTACTCCACTCTTTTCTTTTTTTTCCCTCTTTTTCCACGTGTTCCTTTTTGTTTATTTTTTCCCTTCTTCCTCTTTTTCATTTTTATCTCCTTTTTTCCCTCATTCTCCCTGCTTATTTTTTTCTCTGCCCAGTCTGGTAGGAGGTGGAGATTGTTTCCCCACTAGTCAGCCATGCCTGCCACATGTGCCACCTACTGTCCCATCCACCATCTGCTCCTACACCACTGGATCAACAACAGACAGTGGATAACACCTGCTCACCCTGTCCACAGCTGCTCTTCATGACCAGCAAACAGAGACCTGCGTCCATCTTCCCACCAGATATTCCACACATCTGGAGACACACTGGAAGTGTCCCCACTTCTCCAAAACTAGAGTCCAAAGTAACACACCAACCCCCAACCACTCAAACATAGCAAAACAAGGCAAATCAAAATATGAGGGTGAAATAAATCAACATACAATCAATATATGAATTTAACTCCAAAATGTCTTGGAGACAACAGACAATTTCAAATCAAACAAACAAACAAAAACAGGACAGTGTGGTACAATCAAGTGACCAAAATAAAGAACCAGGAAATCTCCCAGAGGAAAATCAGGTAATAGAACTACCTAATAAGGAATTCAAAAGATTTATATACAGGGCTTCTAAGAGCTCAAGGAAACCACAAACAAAGTCAAAGAAGAATAATTCAGGAAAACAATACAAGAGCAAAATGACTAAATAGAAATTAGAAACCATATGAAAACACAATTAGAAATCCAGAGGATTAATGGTTAAATTTTGGAGATAGATAACACATTGGAAGGACAAAAGAATAGAAACAAACCAATAGAAGAATGTTGTTGTTGCTGTTGTTGTTAGGTGTCATTGAGTCGATTCCGACTCATAGCGACCATGCAGAGCAGAATGAAACACCGCCCGATCCCGCAGCACCTCCATGATCCTAGCTATTCTTGAGCCCACTATTGCAGCCACCGTGTCAATCCATCTCATAGAAGGTCTTACCCTCTTTCGTTGACCCTCCACCTTACCTAGTATGACATCCTTCTCCAGGGACTGGTCCCCTCTGACAACATGACCAAAGTAGGTGAGATGAAGTCTGGCCATCCTCGCTTCCAAGGAGCATCTCAG